AAATATTCTAACTGTCGATTGGCCTTAATTTACGTAGTTGTAAGGTTAGTTCAATGCAAAACGAAAGGTACGTCAGTGAGGTGTATATTTTTCACTTTTTTTATCTGTGAACACTATGTGTCACGGAATGTATAAAGGGAGTATCAGGATTTGGATGGGTCGGGATCAATAACTGTGTTGTGCGATAAGGAGAGTAAATCTAACTATGTACATGGAAGTCTTTAATTCCCAGGTTCGCTAAGCCATTCCTAGGACTTAGTCCCGTGACACTGTGAACCTCTTATTCGCGATTTTGCTGAGTCATCTATATAATGACTCAGCAACTGAGAGAAGCACTACACTTAGTGCAAAAAAAGTTAAACAAATTTCCGATACTAACTTTAAAGATACGTGTGTTATGCAATAGTTATTAACGTGGAACATGTTGCATATCCATCACAATACACTCTTCGAATCTGCAAGTTGTCTATTTGACCCGTTGGTTAAAAGGCGAAATAGTGCTTCCACGCCATTGATGGTGGAAGCGTATAATGCCAGATTTGTTGCTGTTTCAACGGCGGGTCGGGGGACTATTCTTTTTTTTTTGCATCAGATTTTAATTGCGTATGCAGCTATCTAGCTATGGCACAATATCAAAGAAAAGTACAGAATAGATGATTCAACGTAAGACAAGAGCACTCATGCCTCAGATCTCATTTGCAAGTACCACTGGGAAGTTATGGCGGTTTTTTCTTCTCCCCCAAGTCAGCCCTCATCCGTGAATACCCACCCAGGGGAACGTCTCAAAAATCCCGAGTTATCCAGACATGCCTCCGTCATCCATCAACTTTTCTCTGCGCGAAATATGATCTGAGATGTCTCCTTCCCAAGTAGAGTAGGTGCCCAGGCTACTCAAACTATACCGGAGAACACCACCAGGAGGCGGACCACGACACCTTCCATCGTTGGCTTGTGTTTATAGTCTCAGCTACGCTCTCCCAAGCGAAGTCTTGGCGCGCACAAATCTCAATTCGTAAAACTCTTGCCAATCTTCGAAATTCTACGCCCTACGAGGTTATATCCTTCCTTCGCATCATCTTGTGAACTTGTCCTGAATCTTCTCACGTCCATCCGAAGGAATTGTCTCCTAGATTTGTGCGCCACGCTTTGCTTCCTCCGTCGGGTATAAATATCGGCGTGGGCGTGTATCTGGCGACCAACTAAGGCTAGAGAAATTCGACGAGAGGTATGGTCATTGGGATCAGGATGTAATTGGTCGTACTTGTAGACTTGATGAAGCTTAGTTGAGAATCGGACTCTTTGGGAGTGAAAGATTGACATGGTGGAGTAATTTGAATTTTTGCCTCTTTTTTTTTAATTATTTAATGTATTTTCAGCTATGGAGCTATGACACATGACCGGTGCTATGTATACATGTTGGATGACTCTTTTGACGTTAGAGACACTCATGCTCTGGATTTCATTTGCAAATACCACTATGAGGTTTGTTCGCTTACACAAACAGTCGACCCTCCTCCGTTAGTACCCACCAAAGGGAATTTCAAAACCTTTGGTTATCCAAGCATGCCTTCGTCATCCATGCATACCAGCGCCGCGAGAAATGTGGTTGTGTTTTGCTGGATTTGAACCAGCGATCTACTGTCTCAAGTGGGATATGTGTCCAAGCTATCCAGACTCTACTTGGCAGACTGGCCAAAACGATGTACCACCGCACCATCCAACCATGGCAGTTTTTATAGTGTCGCCCGCACTCTCGCAGCCGAAGACTTGGCACGTACAAAGCTCAATTTGTAAAAACTCCTTGCCAAAATTCAAAATTCCACGCCCGTTGAGACCGTATCCATCCTTTGCATCATCTTGTGAACTTGTCCTGAATCTTCTCACGTCCATCCCAAGTAATTGTCTTCCAGATTTGTGCGCCACGCTTTGCTTCCTCCGTCGGGTATAAATATCGGCGTGGGCGTGTATCTGGCGACCAGCTAAGGCCAAAGAAAGTCGAAAAGAGGTGTGGTCATTGGAATGAGGATGTACTAGGTCGTACTTGTAAACTTGATGAGGCTTAGGTAGGAATCGGACTCTTTGGGAGTGAAGATTTGACGTGGTGGAGTAGTTTGAATCATTGCCTCGTGGGCCAACTTCTTTGATATTGCGAAATTTGACTGAACTTGGCTCTGGGAGAATACTCAACTTCCAGGTTCGTAGTGGACACCGCGTACAGGTGTTCAGTCTTGCCCTCAGGGAGACTATTCTCGACGCCCGTTATTGGTGTCCCCTGGGAAACTCTAGCTTTCTCTACAGAGTGCGCAGAGCTGAGTCTATGTATCACCTTCGTCTCTTCTTCGATGAGGATTCCCGATTGCTCTAGTGGTCTGTTTTGTCATAATCTCTCAACAAAAACCCCTATCACCATTTTCAAGAAGCTAAACACGATCATATCAGATGGTAGGTTCGGAGCCCTTCTCGTCATCAACTCTTGATCATGGAGGAAAAGCCATCCGATGAGTTTCCGGAGCGTACCCAGCACCCGATATGGAGGTGGTGGATTGAATCAAGACGGCCTCGATTGTTACAAAGAAGGGAAATGTAGATGAATATGCGCACCTCATGTGGTCTCGGTGTATAGGTCTCGCCTGGCTGGGGCTGCAAGTTTCTTGAGACTTTCTTTCGCGCACGCAGTTTCAATTGCTACCTTTTTATCTTATTTGAGTAGAAATCCCATGAAAAATATGGCTAAATGGCTGATCATCACGGGTAATATATCAAAGATATTTGAAGAAACAAAAGAGAATAGGAGCGCTGGATAGGGTTTGGCACGGGTTAGAGATGAGCCCGATGTCATACATAGTCATAGATTCAGGTAGCACAATAAGCTAAAGCACACAATGGGGAAGATGCACCACCCAAGGCACAGATATCCGCGACCTGTTAGCAGAGGGAAACTATGAACCCCATACAACCACAAACCGAGATGTACAGTAAACTATTACCTTATAGGTTGCGAAGATTGATTTTCATGGCTAGTTTACAATTCGCTATCGAAAAGAGCTTCACATTGTTTGGGACGGGATCCGATAGCTGAAAAAAATGGGATTGTCATGGACCCACCTCCTAAACAAGCCGGCAAAGATAAATTCTTCACTTTCCATTGGTCATGGTACAAAACTCAGTACGCTTTACATCTCTGGGATGGCAAAGAGGAATCTTACCTGTATTTTCCACTTCGATAAGCATTCGTTAACTGCGCACGCAATTAAAATCTGGTGCAAAAAAAAAAGAGTATTCGTTAACTAAACCAAGCAACCAAGCCCTCCCAAACAAATATTCCCGAAGAAATTTCTAGTTGTTCGCCGCTTCGTTCATTATCTTTAAGATCACTTCCCTTCGTAGCGGCACACAACACTCAACGAGTGCAGCTGACACTATAAACACAAGCCAACGATGGAAGATGTTGTGGTCCGCCTCCTGGTGGTGTTCTCCGGTATAGTCTGAGTAACTTGGACACCTACTTTGAGTCATATATTATACGCTTCTCTGATATTGTGTCATGGCTAGATAGCTGCATACACAATTAAGATCTAATGCAAAAAAATCAACACTCAACTACGAGAGCCAAGTGCCGCTTTGCTTAGTTTGTGTAGACTACCAGACATGCCCAAGCAGCCAAAAGAGCTCAGCAAATTAGTGGGTGAGATCCAGCCACTGCTCAGTGCCTCAGAAAGTTGTGAGAATTGTAAAGAATGATTGCTTCTGCCAACCCTCTAAATGATGTCTTCCCGATCTTGAATCCTCTATTCCAACCATTTTCAAAGCTCCTACGGCCAGCATCTCTCGCATATTTTCTCGCAGGCTTCGGTTTCTTCAGAAACCTATTCTCAGGAACCCAATGTTGTTATTTGCAATGTTTTCCCAATATCAATAGTATAGTTAAAGATGGCCGTGGATCTTACAGTGGCTTTTTCCGCATTTGGTAGGAAGTAGTAGAAAGATTGTTTGGTGTGTCGAAGGGAGTGCGATATTCATGTTAACCTAATATATGCAAGGATAGTCTTGATGATTTTCTTCGGAATATAATCTCTCGAGGAAGTTTTATGATCTGGGAATTCCGATAGTAAACAGTCCAGCATGGCTCCTTCTGACAAGGGTCTTAGTCAGAAAATCATCGATCTGATCGCTGGGGAATGACTGAATATTGACCTTGATAGAACGCCTTGTAACTTGGTCAGGCGGCTCCGGGATATTGGGATTATAGTAAACCCGTACAAGTTTCGGAATGACTGTTGCATATACCATCTCTGTACAGTATTCATACCCTTATAGACAGAGGAGATATACAACACAGGTCACTACAGACCTCTATCTACAGATATATTTGTACAATAATGGCCAAGTGAAATTGGTATCCAAGACTTACAGCTTTTTGATCAAATCATATCCGGTCACGGAAGTCCTTGCTCTGGCACATTGCACAGACGTAAAACGGAGAAATTGACTAGACCCTATTTTATGGTGGAGCGGTACCACTAGTGCAAGGGGAAGAGGCTTTTAACGGGAACGCTTCATGTGATGCCCCGACCCCTTTTGTGTTGAGAGACCACCACGTTGATTTGACCCTTAACAGAGAACTCTTAACCCGTATTTAGATGATTAATAAGAAAGATCACTGAAAAGGCTACTACTTGCTTAGGTCAATTCATCTTTGCTGTGGTTTACCCGAGTTCTTGTGACTATAATTTTTGATGGCTCAACAACGGTCGATCAGTCCCGAGAACGAGGTTCTCTGTAGCTTGGCATACGCGCCCTCTGCGTCATAGCATGTGACGCATAATGGACCAAGGTCTCCCAAGACGGATTCGCACTCTGGCAATGGTAAGTCTCAACAATTAGGCTACAGGTCCGCTTCCAGGAGACAGTCATTCAGAGTTATTTTAAACAAGATTACTGCAGCTACCAATCAACTATTTCAGAAAAGCACGCCTGAAGTACAGATTTGTCGCGCCAAAATGCCGGAATTAAGATACGACGCGCAAGTTGTAGTGATCACTGGGGCAGGAGGGGGCTTGGGAAAAGCATATGCTCTCTTCTTTGGTTCAAGAGGAGCTAATGTTGTTGTAAACGACCTCGGGGCTACTTTCAAAGGAGAAGGCGCTTCGTCAAAGGTATGACCGGAATCTGTTTCCACCTCTTGACTTTAAGAATTAACTCTAAGCAGGCTGCTGACGTCGTTGTTAACGAAATTATCGCCAATGGTGGCAAAGCAGTCGCTAATTATGATAGTGTAGAGCATGGAGATAAAATTATTGACACTGCGATCAAATCATTCGGCCGCGTCGACATCTTAATTAACAATGCCGGCATCCTGCGTGATGTTAGCTTTAAAAATATGACTGACAAAGATTGGGATCTAATTATATCTGTACATGTCAAAGGCTCATACAAATGCACTAGAGCAGCATGGCCGTACTTCAGAAAACAAAATTTCGGCAGAGTCATTAATACCGCATCAGCAGCTGGTCTGTTTGGGAGCTTCGGTCAGTGCAACTACTCAGCTGCGAAATTGGCGATGGTTGGCTTCACGGAGACCTTAGCAAAAGAAGGAGCTAAATACAATATACGGGCAAACGTCATCGCACCTATCGGTATGTCTATTAACCTATCCACAATACCCATCTAAAAATACCCAGCCGCTAGTCGTATGACACAGACAGTTATGCCATCGGAAATCCTCGAAAGTCTCAAGCCCGATTGGGTAGTACCACTAGTTGGCGTTCTTTCACACAGTAATTGCCAAGAGAATGGCTCAATTTTTGAAGTTGGTGGCGGCCACGTTGCTAAGTTAAGATGGGAGCGGTCTAAAGGGTTACTGTTAAAGCCAGATGAGACTTATACTCCAGGTGCAATATTGAAAAACTGGGATCAAATTAAAGATTTCAAGAACCCGGATCATCCAACTGGTCTCGCTGACTTCATGGGGCTTTTGGAAAATTCCATGAAACTACCTCCGAATGATCCAGGCGAGCTTTTGAGTCTCAGCGGTAGAGTAGCTCTAGTTACTGGAGGTGGAGCAGGGTAAGAATCATCCTTATATCATACAAATGGTAAGAAACTCTAACTGTTCAAAGTATCGGCCGGTGCTATTCTTTAGCCTTTGCTAAAGCCGGCGCGTCTGTCGTCGTCAATGATCTTGTCAATCCTGATAGTGTAGTGCAAGAAATTATCGACATGGGTGGCAGGGCAATTGCCGTAAAAGCATCGGCGGAAGACGGGGAAACTATTGTTAAAGCTGCAATCGACGCATATGGTCGCATTGATATCATTGTCAACAATGCTGGAATACTTCGTGACAAATCCTTCCATAACATGGATGAAAAAATGTGGGATCAAGTTATCGCCGTTCACCTCAAAGGCACGTACAAGGTTACAAGGGCAGCATGGCCCTACATGCTAAAACAAAAGTACGGACGTATTGTTAACACCACCTCAACCAGTGGGATTTACGGGAACTTTGGACAAGCCAACTATGCGGCCGCTGTGAGTCTACTGCTTCCTTTATACTGATTTAACCTAACTTCGTCAGAAATGTGGGATTCTAGGATTTTCACGCGCTCTAGCTCGAGAAGGCTTGAAGTATAACATAGTCGTGAACACCATAGCTCCAAACGCAGGTACAGCTATGACCCGCACTGTCATGCCTGAAGAATGGGTGCAAGCATTCAAGCCAGACTACATTGCTCCTCTGGTTCTTGCTCTCAGTTCCGACAAGGTTCCACCACCGTCTACCGGGGGTCTTTACGAGGTCGGTAGTGGGTGGATTGGTCAGACTCGCTGGCAAAGATCAGGCGGTTGCGGATTCCCAATCGACGAAAAGCTGACTCCTGAGGCTGTCTCCGAAAACTGGGAGCGTATCACTGATTTCTCTGGAGATAGGGCTGATAACCCAGAATCTGCACAAGATGGGCTTAAAAGTATCATGGCGAATATTGAAAACCGCAGGGGTAATCTCAGTCAGGTATGAATTTGCTTCTTCCTTGAAGCAGAAGCATTGTAACTCGTAGAAAGTGAATGTAACGTATTCAAAATTGATCTCAAACTAATGCAACCTGTGTGGATAGAACGAGGATGATAGTATTGATAAAGAAGTACTGGCAAACATTGCACAAGCCAAACTAGTTGAAGATGCAGGGACTGAATTCCAATACAACGATAAAGATGTCATTCTGTATAACCTTGGCATTGGCGCAAAACGGAGTGAACTCAATTATGTTTAGTAAGGCTATGATATTTTTACGTGTTACACCAGCTAATAGATACTAGTGAGCTTGCAGATGGCTTCCAGGTTCTGCCCACATTCGGGGTAATACCATTCTTCTCCACAAACATGCCTTACAGCCTACTTGACATAGTCCCAAATTTTTCCCCCATGATGATGCTTCATGGCGAACAATACCTTGAGATATTATCGTATCCAATCCCTACGACGGGAACCTTAGTAACTAAAGCACATTTAATTGAAGTTGTCGACAAAGGAAATGCTGCAGTGGTTAAAAATGGCGCTGTAACTACTAATAAACTTGACGGAAAGCCTTTATTCTATAATGAAAACACAATTTTTATTAGAGGTTCTGGGGGATTTGGCGGTACCAAAAAGGGTCAAGATCGTGGAGCTGCGACAGCTCCGAACAAGCCGCCCAATCGTGAACCTGACTTCGTTGCCGAAGAAAGGACGACAGAGGAACAGGCCTTGTTGTACCGTCTTTCGGGCGATTTCAACCCGTTACATGTGGACCCGTCGTTTGCCAGTGTCAGTGGATTTAAAGTTCCCATACTTCATGGACTCTGTTTTTTTGGCATTGCTGGCAAACAGGTCTACAAAAAGTACGGCCGCCTACGAAGTATCAAAGTTCGGTTTGCAGGTGCTGTCATGCCAGGTCAGACACTAATAACAGAAATGTGGAAAGAGGGACTAAACCTTGTGATTTTCCAAGTCACAGTGAAGGAGACTAGAAGACGTGTTATAACAAACGCAGCTTGTACACTGGATCGATAAATAAATCTGGTCGTGTATGCAGGATTAACTTGACGGAAGAGAGAACCTCACTCACTTTAGCCCAATTGCGGTCGCTGGCAACGATTGTGATATTGGTGGTATCATCGATAAAATCTCTCTTATCCGGTCGTTTTATTGCAGACTGTCAAGAAATTGGGCATTTTCCATTCTTTAAGTCGTTGTCGGTAGACCAGTGTGACTAATGCATGTGAAGGACAGTGTGGGATTCCACCCTGACATGTGGATTGAAGTGAGGAGACTGACCGAGGATAATAATTTAGGACTTGAATGTAGCTAGGCATGTGATGAGATCTAATAATATACCCATGAGATTAAAATAAGGGCAACTCCCCTGCATACTCGTCATCTAGGCCCCCGAACAAAGTGGTCGTAGTAGATTCTATAGGCTGCTTCGTTATCTACATTCCGGGTGTTGATTATGTGACATTTATTTTCGTGTACCAAATTGTAGCATGATCTCCGCCTTTCAAGGGGCTCTTGTGTACCTGTTTGCCTGTCAACGTGGTCTAGACAGGCCGCGAGGCAAAAGATGGGGTTAGGGGAGATGGCTAGATTAGTGGTGCCGCCCGTAAACCCTGACCGCACAGCGACTGGTAAGATCTTTCTCTGGTGTTCATTGCACGCGACACTTGTGTTGGCGTGCAGTTGTGGCAGTAGTTGTGAAGTGCGACAAGGGGACTCAGTAGAGTATCTTTCGTGAGAGCCAATCATGGATAGCTTGTTCACGTAAACTTGAGTCGGCGGGTAAAGTCACATTCTAGCAATCATCAAAGGTCAAATAATGTGCCTTGCATGACAGAAAGCGGATGAGTTAGTGAATAACTCGATACCAATCGTTGAGCTGGTGAAGAAGCGCAGCGAAGCCAACACGGACAATTCCTTCACCAACCAGCGGCATCGGAGTTGAGGCTCAGTAGGCTCGGTGTATCAGAGAGGGCCAAGGGCAATCGCATGAAGCCCTAACAATCTCGCCATCAGTATTACCTCCACCTCTTCAGACTAGTGTCTTAAAGCCAGCCACGATCAGATCGGATGGTAGGGTCGAAGTCCTGCCCATCACCAATCCTTGGTCATGGTGAAGCCACCCATTAAGTTTCCGGAGCATGAACACTGGGCGATACGGCGATGGTGAATTGGACCTGGTTGGCCTGCTTTGCTACAAGGTAGACATACATCGTGTGGCTTCGGTGTCTAGGCCCCGCCCGACTGGGGCTGCAGCATTTATGAGTTTTCTTTGGGATAGAACGTTACGTCGAGATTAGTCTAATCTACGGGCAAGCATGGAGCTGAATGGCTATCCATCACGGGCAATGTGTCAACGATCTTATCATTGCCAGAGGGACAGGAGCAGAGTGTCAAAAGTGGCCTGTGTCATAGAGGAGCTCCATCTATTGGGAATTCATAAGCTCCCAAAGCACACTAAACACCAATCCCAGCGTAGATCCAGGAACGAGAGTGGACAGGTATGTTACATTGGCCATATCCAAGACGGTACCTGGAAATAGGGTTCAGCGAACCCACAAAGGCACTGTCAAGACCTACCGAACGCTGCGCCATCTCCAACCATGCGCAAAGGTTGGGTGAAGGAAGAGGGAGACTAAGGTAAGGAGTCTTTATCCCGGGCACACGCAATCGCGCAGTATGGGGCCGATAAGCCTCACGGCAAACAGCAGAAGGGCAATATGTCTAGATTAGGGGAGCCCTGCAACCATGCAGCCGCTAGAGGCTCCACCGAGGGTTGTGATCATACGGGAGCTCAAGAGGCGTGAGACTGTGGGATGTTGGTTGCAAGGTAAACACCGGTGTTCCTCGGCCTGTAACCAAACAAAATCTGCCCTGACAATGGAAATCACGTCATGCACATCATTGCCCATCCGCGAAATCACAAAACATCATTGAACTATTCCAACCAGCGACGGATTGTGTATGCTTATAGCTTACAAGATGGCCAGCTTGGCTACGGATCTTCCTCGAGAGTGATAGGCGCCACACCACATGCGTCGAATGCATGATCACCCATTCCACGCCAGAGCTCAGTTGTCACAACGCTCGCTAGCTAGTAACACCAGTCGCATAGGTACTGAGTTTTCGCCCTGATTCATTGATCAAGGCAAGAGCCAGTGGGAGAAGCTCGGTCGATTTCCCGGATTCTTCTACGAGATCGGTCGAGCTTCTTCTCAGACAAGACGTGTAGGAAGCCAACCAGCCACTTGCATCAAGTCTTACCCGGGCCTGACGATTTGTGCCGGCAGCTCACCTTCATTGGAGCTCGTATGATAGGCAGCAGAGGGCAATGAATTCAGAGATTCCAGATTCGATCGTGGGTACCTTTATGAGGGATGCTAGTAGTGTGGCGATTCTATAATAAACGAGGCCCCGAAATCTCTCATCGCTTAGCTGACTAGCGGTGAGTATCCATTGATGTGCGAATCAGTAGAGTGGTGGCGATGAGATTCAGTTTTCTTCTTCCCCTTTTTATTTTTTGCATCAGATTTTAATTGCGTATGCAGCTATCTAGCTATGACACAATATCAAAGGAAAGTACAGAAAAGATGACTCATCGTTAAGGAAAAGCACTCATACCTCAGATTTCATTTGCGAGTACCACTGCGAAGTTGTGGCGGCTTTTTCTTCTCCCCCAAGTCAACCCTCATCCGTGAATACCCACCCAGGGGAACGTCTCAAAAATCCCGAGTTATCCAGACATGCCTCCGTCATCCATCAACTTTTCTCCGCGCGAAATATGATCTGAGATGTCTCCTTCCCAAGTGGAGTAGGTGCCCAGGCTACTCAAACTATACCGGAGAACACCACCAGGAGGCGGACCACGACACCTTCCATCGTTGGCTTGTGTTTATAGTCTCAGCTACGCTCTCCCAAGCGAAGTCTTGGCGCGCACAAATCTCAATTCGTAAAACTCTTGCCAATCTTCGAAATTCTACGCCCTACGAGGTTATATCCTTCCTTCGCATCATCTTGTGAACTTGTCCTGATCCCTCTCATGTCCATTCCAAAGAACTGTCTCCCAGATTTGTGCGCCGCGCTTTGCTTCCTCCGTCGGGTATAAAAATCGGCGTGGGCGTGTATTTGGTGACCAGCTGAGACCAGAGAAGGTCGAAGAGTGGTGTGGTCATTGGAATGAGGATGTACTTGGTCGTACTTGTAGACTCGATGAGACGAAGATAGGTGTCAAACTCGTTGGGAGCGAAATAACGACGTGGATGAGTAATTTGGATTTTTGCCTCGTGGGCCAACTTCTTTGATATTGCGAAATTTGACTGAATTTGGCTCTGGAGGAATATTTCACTCCCAGGTTCGTAGAGGACACGGCGTACAGGTGTTCAGTCTTGCCCTCCAGTGTTAGGATATTGAGAAAGTAGAGTCATGGGAGTGATAAAATACGAGGGCTAATCCTCATTATGTAGAGAAATATGTAATGTGTTGTAGCGATACAGGATGATGTTTATAAGTCAAGTGCTCAGGGTGTGGACAGTTTCAACACAAGCAAACATCGGACATTGAGCATTTCCTGACAATTAAACTACCCCTCTAACCTTAGGCCTAATCACAACCCGAACGTCATTCGCAAGTGCCATTGAGTGTTGTGTTTGTATACAGACAACACGCAACCCTCGCCCGTGAGTATCCACGACTGAGGTCTTTCAAACATTTGAATCCCATTCTTACTTCAGGCTACCATTCACACAAGTAGCAACAGAAATCTCATCAGGTCCTCCTCCATCTGCAGCTGTCATTTTTTACACTTCATGGAAAGGGCGGCCCAGCTGAGAGATGGGCGCAGGCGGTATACCAGTCTACCATCCGACCTTCGCCCTTCTCATCCGCGTCAGTCAGGACTGGATTGATTTGACTTTGTGTCATGCTAGATAGAATACGATACGTGAAAGAAATGACCCATCGAGCCTGGGGCCGCGAGCTTAACGAAAGTTTCAACGCCCCACCATATAATGAGTTTTGCCAAATTCGTAGCCTGACCTCACCGTCTCGCGAGAGAGAAAGCGATAGGATGCAGACACAACACGACCATTGCTTGGTGAATGCAACACGCCGACGCACAAAGGGCTGGGGCGAAGAAAGTCTCTGATTCATGCTCGTACCATGTGAAGTTAGATTTGTAGTTGTCGCCACATTTTGTAGACTAGCGCCCATTTAAATACCTCATATACCAGTCCCAGCATAGAGAACTTCAATGTTCGTCTCCCGAAGCTATCATTGTATACCAACACACCCAATCTAAAATTCTTGTATCTCCACAATATCCACGCCGCCCGTCGCCACCGCTGCTGCTGCTGCACGGATTAATCTCAGGCCTCTCACCTCGGGATTCAGTCACACTCTCCCCCATGGAGTATCTCATCTACCCGGGCGGGCCGTGCTTTACAGGTTCCGAGGCCCAGAAACTTGCCCAACGGGCTGGCGTGAGAGAAATAAATGGGATTTGGATATACTACTGTCACCTCAAAACTGCCAGCACGGAGAGTGAAGCCCAGATATCAGAGCTCCTTCCTGTCTCTGGCAAATCGCTTGATCAGGTTCTCCGGGACCACAGCAGTGCTTCCTTGACTTATTTTGCCAGCCCCAGGTACCTATCGCCATGGAGTTCGAAAGCCACGAGCATTGCACAAGTTTGCGGACTCCAAAACGTGGAGAGGATCGAGCGAGGACGATTCCTTGCGGTCGAATTTGATCCAGTGGCTGGCCGAGGTAACAATTGGAAAAACTTCCTCTACGACCGAATGACAGAGAATCTAAACGAGGGCATTCCGGCGCTGGACAAAATGTTTGCCCGAGAAAAATCGATTCCCCTTGAGGTTATTGATTTATCCAGCGCCACGAATTCCTTGGATATCCTAAAGGCATACAACGCTCAACGAGGACTTGCACTAGATGAGCAAGAAATGGAATACCTTGTCCAAGCCTACAAGCAATTGGGTCGATCACCTCGTGACATTGAATTATTTATGTTTGCGCAAGTCAATTCCGAACATTGTAGACACAAACAATTCAATGCCAAATGGACCATTAATGGCACCGTTATGGAGAGAAGTCTCTTTGACATGATTAGAAATACACACAAGCAAAATCCAGAATATACTGTCTCTGCCTACAGCGACAATGCCGCCGTTCTCGAGGGTCAAGTTGCAAGCTTTTGGGCTCCAGATTATACTACGGGAAGCTGGAAACAAACAAAAGAAATGGTTCACTTACTCGCCAAAGTAGAAACCCACAACCATCCCACAGCAATATCACCATTTCCCGGCGCAGCAACTGGCTCTGGGGGTGAGATTAGGGATGAAGGTGCCGTAGGAAGAGGATCAACGCCTAAAGCAGGGCTCTGCGGTTTCTGGGTCTCTGACTTATTCATTCCTACGCACCACCAACCATGGGAAATGGACATTGGGAAGCCTGCCCATTACGCTAGCAGTTTAGAAATTATGTTGGAAGCTCCAATCGGTAGCGCAAGGTTTAATAATGAATTTGGTCGACCCTGCTTAACCGGCTGCTTTCGAACCTTGTTGACTAGTATCGAGCTTACGCCAGGTAACCGAGACATTCGTGGTTTTCACAAACCGATCATGATAGCCGGTGGAATTGGCACCGTTAGGCCTCAGCACGCTCTCAAGGATAGTGCATTTGTTAAAGAGGGAGCTCATGTCATAGTCCTTGGTGGTCCCGCAATGCTTATTGGACTAGGAGGTGGTGCTGCTTCCAGTAATGATTCTGGAGAGAAATCTGTAGAACTTGACTTCGACAGTGTTCAGCGGGGAAATCCGGAAATGGAACGAAGAGCCCAAATGGTCATCAATGCCTGCATCGCTTTGGGCGAGAAGAATCCTATAGCCTTTATCCACGACGTCGGCGCCGGAGGTCTCTCGAATGCCCTTCCTGAGCTCGTAAAAGATGCAGGATACGGTGGAAATTTTGAGTTGAGACAAATTGACGTAGCTGATAGTAGTATGAGTCCCCTTCAAGTTTGGTGCTGTGAGGCACAGGAGAGGTATGTCTTGATTGTTAACAAGGACGCACTAAACTGCTTCACTGGGATTGCCCGTAGGTCTTCTCCTCAACCATCAGTCCCCCACTTGGATCACTGACAAGAAATTCAGAGCGGGAGCGATGTGGGTTCTCCAATGTTGGCACTGTCTCAGCTAAGGATAAAAATGGAGCTTCAGATCTGATTGTCACGGATCGAGACTCGACCGAATTCCCGCGTCCAGTTGACTTGCCAATGTCACTTATTTTTCCCAAAGATAGAAAACTCGAACGAGTTGTCGAGTCCATGAAACCAGCTCTCCATCCATTCCACCCAGTAGAGGCTCTTCAGAAGGCCTACCCTAATCTGACTGAAAATGAATTATTGCGTAAAGCTATCCAAAGAGTTTTTAGTTTGCCCGCGGTTGGCTCCAAATTATTTCTAATCACGATTGGAGATCGCACAGTTGGGGGTTTGACAGTACGAGACCAGCTAGTTGGTCCTTGGCAAACACCTGTTGCAGACGTTGCAGTGACTTTATCCTCACTCAATTGTGGCGATAAAATAAGGACGGGAGAGGCTATGAGTATGGGTGAAAAACCTACATTAGCATTAATCTCGCCAACAGCCTCGTCAAAGATGGCCGTCGCCGAGAGCCTAATGAACTTGGCTGCTGCTCATATTTTAGGCGGTTTACCACGTGTTCGACTTTCTGCAAACTGGATGGCAGCCATCAATCATGCTGGGGAAGGTGCATCGCTATACGAGGCAGTTCATGCTATTGGTATGGATTTATGTCCACAGCTAGGCATTAGCATTCCCGTCGGCAAAGATTCCACCTCAATGAAAACTGCCTGGAGAGATCCGGAATCAGGAGAATCAAAGAGCGTAACTGCACCGACAACCGTTGTAATTTCAGCATTTGTACCAGTAATCGACGTAAGGAATACTTGGACACCCACCCTGCAGCGCTTTGAGAATTTCGGAGAGACAATTTTGATGTACGTCGATCTAGGTGTAGGAAATAAGGCCTTAGGAGGCTCCGCGCTAGCTCAAGCTTTTGGCCAGCTTGGGGATGAGGCGCCTGACGTGAGAGATGCGGACCTTATCGTTGATTATTACGATGCCATTTCCCAATTACACGAGACCGATATTGTACTAGCCTATCATGATATTTCGGATGGTGGTATGGTTACAACTATCGCAGAGATGATGTTTGCCGGTCGTTGTGGTGCAGAAATAATAATTGACGAATTGACAAAAAGTGAATCACTTGAACATGTCCTAGAGACACTTTTTACAGAAGAGCTTGGTGCTATATTCCAAATCCGTAGGTCGGACGAGGTTAATTTTAATCGCTGTTTCGCTACTTGTGGCCCACCATCGGGGCTTATTCGGAAAATTGGCCGCGTTCCACCTGTAAAGAATCAAAATCTTTCCATCATTTTCGATCAAAAGCCCCTCTTGGAGATGAGCCGTTCTGAATTGCAACAGATTTGGTCTACTACTTCCTACCAAATGCAACGTCTCCGAGATAATGTCAAATGTGCAGATGAAGAATTCGAAAATATCCTGGATGATACTGATCCAGGGCTTTCATATCATTTGAAGTTTGATCCCAATGATACAGTGATTCCTATTAGGTCAACCTTGACTTCGGTATTCACAAAACTCCCAAAAGTGGCAATTCTGAGGGAGCAGGGCGTTAATGGTCACGCCGAGATGGCTTTTGCATTTAGAGCTGCTGGCTTTGATGCCATTGATGTTCATATGAGTGATCTCATCGGCACTCGATCACTTTCGGAGTTTGTTGGTATCGCCGCATGCGGAGGATTTTCCTATGGAGATGTCTTGGGTGCCGGGGAAGGCTGGGCCAGATCAATTCTAATGCACACGAAAAACGCACGTCCGGAATTTGAGAAATTCTTCCAACGCCCCGATACCTTTGTTTTGGGAGTATGTAATGGCTGCCAAATGTTGACGCGTATCAAAGAGTTAATCCCCGGCACCGATCATTGGCCGCTCTTCCTGCAAAATGAGAGTCGACAATTCGAGGCACGCGCAAGCATGGTCAAGATTCAAGACGATAGCAAGACGCCGTCTGTCTTTCTACATGGAATGAACGGCTCTAGCTTGCCCATTGCTGTTTCCCACGGCGAAGGCCGAGCGTCATTCTCCCACCAGCAGGATCTGGCGGCATTGAATGAGAATGGCTTGCTTCCACTGCGCTACGTTGATAATAGGAATAGGGTAACGATGCGTTACCCGTTCAATCCAAATGGTAGTCCTGAGGGGATTGCGGGGGTTAGGAGTCTAGACGGTCGCGTCCTCGCCATGATGCCACACCCGGAACGAACCATCATGGCGGCCGTAGGAAGCTATATACCAAAATCAATGGTCAAGGATTCCGATGAGTATGGGCCGTGGCTGCGAATGTTCCGCAGCGCACGGAGGTGGGTGGGCTGAAGGATATTTTGTTAATCTACAATTTGGCAGAGGTTACTGGGAATACAAGTTGCTCCTCGACGTAGTATCCTGTACATTACAAAATTTGACATGAGACTGATGTGATATATTTTATGAGCCACTACGTCCAAGGCCATTTAGAACATGCGGCTCCGACCCGCCTCTGGCCGGGAGCAAGTTTGTCTCGGGCAATTGACTCCCTACCGCAGCGCCTATGATAACTCCCGTCCCGCCGCCGCAGCCCACATCGCTCTCCATTTGAGTAAACTTGAACGAGCCAAGTTACGAAGCACTTGCTGCTCAGCAGTGAGTGTCCATGGAACTCTTTCGCCGCACGGGGCAAGCAGGAAGCGAGTGATGGCCATTCAAGCGCCGCGAGCGCCTAAGACAGAGCCTATCCAACCATGCCGTCAGCCCAGTCAAGCCACTCGCCGCTGTCGCCGGCAAGGCCTGAATCCCCGCCTTGCTCATGGGTATCACGGATGAGACGAGGCCTGCTGCTGCAGAATATGTCGCTCGAGGCGCGCCTTGCCTGCTTTGATCCCCACGACGGCCGTGTATCCGTAGCCGTGTTTCCACCTCAAACCCACCTCTCTGACGAGGCAACTGCTGCGACCACGTGGTGGGCTCTACTCATGAGCGCGTAATGCGCTTTTTGACACTGACTTCATGATGGCCGAACTGCGCGCCATATTCTATAGTAGTCTCGTTTTCTTGAAATTTGCTCTTCATAATATTTACATTAGTCTACTCAGCGTCAGTATCAGTAGCTCCGCTTTCGCTTGTATGCCTTCAATGTGGGATGGCCGGCTTATCAAAGGGTCCAGCTGATTCTAAGAAATCGAAGAGACGGTTTGATGGTGAGCCATGATTGGGAAATCCACCATTCATGCAAGGAAACTCCAAATTAGAATGTAAAAAATAATTTTTTCAATTAGTTTGTGCTAGATGGTTCTAAACTCAGATAGGACACAAATGGATTAATCAAGAGACGGTTTGGATCTATTCACGTGGCTTTGTATTTGGATAGCAGCGTGCGGATTACAAACTTTCTGGGCCCTAGCTTGTTTTGTATGCTTCTTAGTGTCCCACATTGCATGTACACTTTCATGTGCTATGGAATTTTAATTGCTACACAGTAATCCAATTTCTTATTAAAATACTCATATACTGAGGGCTAGTGAGGGTATAATCTTAACGAGCTGAATTACACATTTTGCATCTGTGAGTTCTTAGCATTTGGAAGAGGTTATGGTTATTACTAAACAAAACGCCTAAAGTTGTATTCCTCGCAGCTTTCCAATTAACCCAATCTCTTAGTCGCACGCGAGTAATTTGAAGCCATTTAAATTAAGATTAAAAGTGTAAATAGCATTTAAATGCGTAAATACAACTTTACTAGATTTTTGAAACGCTTTAATCAAAATTAAATTTACTGATAGTCCTTATCTTATTGGTATTTTAGGCAGCATTTAATTTCCTAGCCCTGATATATAACACTATCATTAGTGTCAACTGCTCTTTTGTATAATTGGAATACATTCATGAGATCATTTTGTTACTACTTATCTCCATGAGTGCTAAGAATAGCGGAATAAAGCAGCCGAGAAGGAAGGGAGAAGTGTACGTCTTGATGTAAAGCGTGGGTTTTGCGTTTGTAGAAGCTCCTGAGTGGATTAATTCTGAATGGCCAATCTAGTTTCCATAAAACAATTCAAACTTTCTTCCGAATATTTTGAAACACCATTCAAAATCTCTAGTTAAGATGTAATACCAGGAAAAAATTCGGTCTAGGGTATAGAGGTTTTATATTCTTGATCAATAATATTCGATCGTAGGTTTTTAATTTGGTTGATTATTTAATTAGAGGTGTAGTTTAGATTTGAAGGTCAATATTAAACTACGAAGATTTATCGGTAAAACTTGATTTTCGTCTAACTCAGGGGTCGATTAAATTAGTGTTTAATTCCTCTGATAAAGTAAAGCCCCACGGACGATTGAATGCTGTATATTTGGGGCGTCGGTATTTAATATCAAGACTGTAATTTCCAGAAGAAAGGTAAGTAGTTGACGTGAAAATTAGCTAGGAATGTGGGTCAAAAAGTTTCATAAACCTGTATTTACTCTGTAGACTATACATTTATTTCTAGACTGTAGTACAAGTCTTTTTTAGGTTTCCTATGTTGAACATTAGGAATCGATTTAAGGCCCGACAGGGATATATATACCGAGTCTATTAAGCGGAGCAAATAACGATCTTTGGTAGAGCGTTGAGATTTGAAGTGTTAACATCTTCCCGATGGGTTCTAAAAAGCCTTCGTGTTGCGCAGATTTGGCGCTGGTAGGGTCTGCTTTGAGGATTAAGAATACATATCATGCGCCTTGTGAGTTTTCTGTTTGTTACCCATCCCATAAAGGAAGTACTGGAAGCCGAGAAATAAATCGCAGAACGTTTGGAAAAGGCCACAGAGTTTGAAAGTCCACGGAATCTCGCTGTTTGCCGTGAAAAACCACATCATTTTCATAAAGTCACCAGCAAGCCAGCTCACTAACACAGAGATGCGGAAGCCCTTGCATGATTGGAGACGGTGATTGGATATTATCTGAGGTAAAGGAAGGGTAGCCTCGACAGACAAGCCTAAAATACCAAGGCTGGACGAGTAGACGGAATATATTCCAGGAAAAGGAGACAGTAGTAGTTCCAAGGCAGTTAAGAAAATAAAGTAGTAAAGGAGGAATTTCCAGTATCTGAATGACAGAAGTTCTTAACCAATAATGTAATAATTTCTTCTAGATTTCGGATAGCTTACAGTTTCGGCGAACGCCATTGCCAGAATTGATATGGCCTTCGGAAATACCCGTATTGGTCCTTGACGTGGACAAAGGGCATGGCAGATTCGCCTCCTTTCGAAGAAACCGATGGTCTATATTCGAGGGCGAGTTTCAATAAAATTAATTGAATAAAAATCATAATAAAAGATTGAATGAGAAGAGCAGTGTCAAATTTTGCTCCGGGATAGTAAAATATCCTTGGATATGTTAGAAGAAAGCATTAGATGTCCAGAAAGTTTTGAATACCTCGTTAGTGAAGCTACCAACATAATTAGTGGTATATCCAGCGAAAACCCCGCGCTGGACTTGTTTCGGTATATGGAGTACGTTTGGTCGGCGTAGGAGGTAAAGGGCGATAATATTATAAAAGCAGGAGCTGCTACACTCAGGAATTGAGCACCGATCCCCATGATGAATTTCTTTTATCAGGCGGTAGCAAAGAGTAGGAAGTTTGAGGAAACGAAGCCTAGAATTTATCTCGACTCAGCTTGTGTACAGGTCTAGAACAGTAGTTGTGTCCATTGTGATCTCAATATTTTTGGCATTAAACAGGGGTCCCAATCCAGAATCCTGGTACCGAAGTCGTCCTTTATTATTCAATTTACACTCCGTAGCACAGCCGTCTCCTTTGAATAATAACCCGTACATTCATGAAGTAACTCAATAGACCTCGCAAACACTCAAAATCTACATTTGGTTTGCGAAGATTACTCTGAAGCCTGGCTACTCGTGCACTTCGGCTTTCGTCTGCGGGGAAATAAAGGCTCGAGACCTGTCAAAGATATTTCCTATGAACCTACGGCTCTTAGAGTCTGTGGAGCCGAAATTTAGCCCAATATTACCCAGATAAGGCTCTATTACAAATTCCTCAGCGGTAATCACTACAACTTGAGCATTGCAAAGGAGTCGGGCAAGGCCACAGTATAGATTAAGCCCTCTGTCAGGACTTTTCCAACATTCTTGATTGATATTTTAATGCGCCAGGCAGGAGCCCTGCATCTAGCGTGACATGACACGGGTAGTTGGCCCCGAAAGACTCAATACTAACAAGATGGCCAATTCAACATGAACTGAGAAAGAGCATGAAATCAAATCTTTTTGTATGGAGCCCTGCGCCTCACCTGAATCCCGTAACGATATATACCTATAAATTGACATCTATGTCAACATCTTGATCTACCCCAATTGTTACCGTGATGATCTGGGTCATTTTCACATATCTTCGTCCACCAAAGCAAACACAGGCCATCTTATATTTGAAGCTTCGAATGCACTACCTGTAATTTTGGTCTTAGCGCCCAAAAGTACCCAATGTAGAAAGCTCAAAAATATGAGTCTTAGCATGCCCATTTGTAAATTCTCCCCTCTATCGTTGCACATCCCAGCTGCCTATCCTCTCTCAAGTCTTGGAACACCAGTTCAACAACAGTCCCCCAAAATCCAAGACCCGAGCTTTGCATTTCATGACTTAATTTCTTCTTGCGAGTATCAGTAGCATCGAATTTTTTAATGGGGGGTGTCTGGTGGCTCATGAGGAAAGCTCCCGCTTGCAGTTAGAGCATCTCCTCGATGCCTCATTGAGCCGAGATGGTTCGCGAAGATTGATTTAGAGGAATTATAAGTGGTAGACCAATACTGGTGAGAGGCCTCGGTTTTAGTTACGCTTGTGTTCCTTTTTGACTTCGATCCAAATGCGATTCTTCTTGGCCATATTAGGTAAGATGAGTATACCTCGCGATTACACCGGCACCACTGGAAGATGAGGCATTCGTCTTTGACAACTCTGGCACTCCTGTGGTTCCTAGTGGGTTAAATCGTGTGAAAAGTTAAGTGAGCTTAGCTTCGGATAGGTTTCAGTCACGGGTGTCTCATGGATACAATTCACTAAAATTTATAGTAGAGCATAAGACCAGTTTTAATGTTGAGATTCTATGAACAAAGGGGATTGTCTTGTTGCTTACAATGTTTCGTTTCTTGTACCAAAACCCCAAAATGAATATCATTTCATAACCATTAAACTATAACAGATTCCCATGCAAATTAAGAGATCAGTGAACCCAGGATCCCTTTTCCAACGCAATTTCGGATTTTTATCGAGGCGGGATGAATGCATGATAGTAAATGGAGGCTACGAAGGCTGAGAGATATTCCGTTAGTTACACACAGCTCCATAGCTTTTTACTATATGTCTCTTCGAAACGCTTGAATGAATGAAGATTTAATTGTAATGGTCACGAGCCTAGCACTCATAAAGCATAACATGGAGAAGGCTCGTCCTTCCCCGGCGACTATATACGACGATAACTCAGTTTGACATTTGGACTACTCGTGTAGTGGTTGCATTCGCTGCTACCACTCGAGACCTTGGTGCTAGGGACTTTCACCCTTCCCTCAACCGTTAATGTTCACCAAGGGGAAAACATGAAAAAGATTTGGCTACCCTAACACGCCTTTGTCATCTTGTATACAGCCGCCGCGCAAAATATGGCCTCACATTCCTCTCTTTCTCGAGTGAGGTAGGTCTCCAGGCTATCCAGACTTTAATTCGGGGAGATGACGAACAGGAGGCGGTTCACGATATCTTCCATCGTTGGCTTGTTTTTATAGTGTCAGCTGCATTCTTGCAAGCGAAGTCTTGGCGCTCACAAATCTCAATTCGTAAAATTCCTTGCCAAAATTCGGAATCTCACGCCCTTCGAGGTTATATACTTCCCTTGCATCATCTTGTCAGCTTGTCCTGATCCCTCTCACGTCTATCCCAAAGAGCTGTCTCCCAGATTTGTGCGCCACGCTTTGCTTCCTCCGTCGGGTATAAATATCGGCGTGGGCGTGTATCTGGCGACCAGCTGAGGCCAGAGAAGGTCGAAGAGTGGTGTGGTCATTGGAATGAGGATGTACTTGGTCGTACTTGTAGACTCGATGAGACGAAGATGGGTGTCAAACTCGTTGGGAGCGAAATAACGACGTGGAGGAGTAATTTGAATCATTGCCTCGTGGGCCAACTTCTTTGATATTGCGAAATTTGACTGAATTTGGCTCTGGGAGAATACTTCAGTCCCAGGTTCGTAGAGGACACCACGTGCAGGTGTTCAGTCTTGGCCTCCCCACAAGGCTTTATTGCTTAACGAGGACAATTGAGTAGTTTCCAAATCCGAGCTTGAGATCCTCACGCTTTTAATTCTGATTTTAGGAATAGTTACGTAATTCTAATCACATTACACACTCTGTGACCTACCGTCAACTCCGGCTACTATATGTAGAACAATCCCGGCGTTCTCCTCTACCACTTCTTCGAAAGGCCCTCTGCGTTTCTACGGGGCAACCTTCCTCAGTACCTCGCACACCACGCTCTCTCCTACGCCTCGAGTCTTGCGCCTAGTGAACCTAGGCCTGATAATTCCTTGTTGTAGTTGTAGTAAAACTTTTATCGGTAGTTGAGATGTTGTAGTAAGAGTGAGGTTGAAGACCCAGAGGAGAATGATAAGTGCTGCATGATTGAGAAGTTGTCAAATGGAGATATGTTGGAGGTTGCTTTCGACTGCAATTCGGATGCGATTCTTCTTGGCTATCCCAGATGTGCAGAGCAGACTGAACGATTATACCGACGCCACTGGAAGGTGGAGAATTCGTCTTTGCCGATCTCGAAATGCTTGAGATGGGTAGCTATTTCTTCGAATTTAGTCCTCATGTTGTTAGAGCCCCGCACCCATTTGTTTTGGCGATTTTATTCGGCTACAATTCACCCCCAACGGCCTTAATTTTGCTGGCTGAAGAGAGGAAATAGTGGGTTGCAAATGACCCATCTTAGTGCACGACTGAATGAACACCCTTGAGGATTGATTTGTTGGGATAAAGCTACAAACGAGATACAGGCGAGAACATACTGTACAAGGTCTGTGGACGCTGAGAACTAACATTTCTTACGACTCACAGTTCTAGAATGGGACTGTAATCACAAAATTCGTAACGTACCACACCTGTTTTGCCAGGCTTGAGGAGAGGGGAAACTGAATGGCACGGGAATATCATTGGTTATTCTCTTAGATCCTTGTAATCTTAACTACCTGCCGATCTTCCCCCACCTCAAGCCACAATTGCTTATCGGCCTTATCTTCGGACTCGCGAAAGACACCCTTGCGCAGGTTCTCTGCATACAATTCGTAGGCTGGAAAGTATCCATCGACAAACTCCACGACCTGTGCCTGACTCATAGCACTCTCTGGGCCCTTCGTGAGGCGCAAGACATTTTCGCTCTCTTCCCGCCAATCGTATGCCCAGTTCGGATCCATGGCATCTATGTAAATGAAAGCGTCAAAATAACAGTAGACCACTTCCAGTTCGCGCAGTTTCTCATTTACAAAGAGCAAATGCTCGAGGTCGTGCTTCTTCAACGTCCGGCTTGATCCTTTCCACTTCTCCTCTACCTCTGTATTGGAGAGGGCACGGTAGCCTAAACACCATCCTTCGAAAATAACCACGCGTATGACTCTTTTGCCTGGCTGGTTTACCCGCTTCCAGAAGTTTTCGGGTATTCGATCACCTCTCCCGTGATGTGCACTCTTATCGTATGCGGGAATGAAACACTCCTTCCCGTCGGCTAAGGTTTGGAGAACCTCGGTAAGTAAGGGGATATCGTGAGTCCCTGGATCTCCTCGATACTGTAAGAGTTTATTCTGCGGGTAATCACGCGCCAGCTCACGCTGTTGCTCATAAGGTAGATAGAAATCATCGATGGAAAATACAAGCGTCTCTAGGCCCCAATTTTCTTCGAGATGCTGGGCCAGGTGCTTTACCAGCGTGGTCTTTCCGATGCCAGGGATACCACTGAGACCTATGATGACTGGATCTTTGCTTGCTGCTAGGGTTGTAATGAAGGAGAGGCACGCAAGTGATTTTTCATCCATGGGGATATTGGAAATATGATTTGGCATGTTGAGCACTATTCCCAACGACTCTTGGTAGTATTGTAATGGCTAGGTTGCTTTTTGTAAGTTTTCCGCGTCGCCCAGGCTATCATAATTAGCTCTTCCGTCAGCAAGGAAAGTAGGGGCACTGTGGGCGTAAGGAAAGCGCTAGCTAGTTGACTTACCTGGGCCTAGATTTCCAATGTAGAAAATTTTTGCTGCTTGGTGAGAAGATGGGCCAAAGTTGAACCAGATATTGAGCTCGCCTGGGCCTGGCTCTCTAGACGATAAAACGACCTTTTAAATGTCATTTTTCGCACTGAAAATAGACTGTTAACATTTGCAGGCCTCGGAGTAAATTGATTCAGTTAAAATGGAAGAGACCTAACGAGGCGGCAGGGTAAGGGTTTTACTTGCATATGGCGGGTCACAAGATGTTTGGGCAAAGTAAGTTTCGAGTCCTGGGCTCCTATGACACCTGGCTCATCCCCAAGGTGTTACTGCCGCTGCAACCGCTTCCGAAAGATGGAAATTTTACGTCGACTAGCATGTTTGTACGCTACACGCTAGATGTTGATACTCCACGTCACAGAGCCTAGTGCTACGACCACAAGACAGCTAGCTAGGAAGTCCTTGGACCGAGATCAAAGTATCTTGACGGCACTAACAGTTATAGGGATTTAATTGGTTGATATAACAACGAGATATTTTTTCCTCTACAGCAGCTTATTTTCTTCTCGCTCGATACACTTTTCCAATTACCCGTCCGGGATGATCTCTGCAAAAGAAGATTTTGAGACTCTAATTTTGAGATACACCACTCACATCTAGAAAGCCAAATCTAGCTAATGGGCGAGTCTGTCTCCATCGAATCACGAAATGGCTGTACAGCAGGGTTTATCGATACGGAGATGCAAGAATTTACCTGTTATCAGACAGTTATTCATGGATTTGGATCGCAACGTCGCACCGATCCGGACATGCAAATCTATGGCCCTAAATGAGCTATCAGCCTGATAAATGCCGGCCGTCCCGTTAAGATTTCATTCCATCGACTATCAAGCTCTCTAGGTCAACTCCGAAAAGAGTGCACTGAAGTAATTTAAGCCGTAAGGCTTACTTGATTATTTCTCGAAAATACATAGTATTTTTTCAAAGTATCAGGTGTAGAAATATTCTATACACGCTATTGTCTTTTTCCCCGACTCTCAATTCAAAATATCCCATGAAGATATGTCCAGGATCAGCCAAGGATCAGGCAGAAAGACTAACGAGTAGATAAAAATCATAGTTTTGGATAGATTGTCTACCCAAGCTATCTAATAGTATGGAAAGTCGAGGGTGGTTGTGTTTGTACCACTCTCGTTCTCGAGATTTCGCTGCCCGAGAAAAAAAACAATTACAGATGGTTAGATATTTACGAATACTCATGAGGTGCAGGAGGAGCTCTTGTCAAAAAAAAGCTATTGGTGTACAAACTTTGCGCAGCCGTTGCTCCTCCGGGGTATCAATGATACTCATCCTTGATAATTTCTAATTGCGGCAGAGAAGTAGCTTCTGTCGACAAGTGTAAGTCCTACGTATGGAATTGTGGCGGATGGATGGGACGTCAGTTTTTCGTAGCTCTCCTACTTCGGCGGATCCATAAGTTGCCGAGTACTCGTTGAACAGCTGTAGATCACGAGTGGCTGCCGGGCTCAGCGCATGCTGATTGATACCTTCGTCTTCTAAATCGACTTTGAGGTTCTTAAGATAGCAGAAATTAGTGATTCAAGAGCTGTGCAATATTCGATCGGCCCAAATAGAGTCGTCAAAATGGTCGCTCTTCTTGTTAAGCTCACATAGCTGACAACAATGTTTATACTTTCGTTGCAGGCAGCAACGAAGTGCAAAGAACGCGCCTATTGGCGCTGAATGACACAGAGCATCGCTGTCCTACCACAAACCCAGTAATCACGCGTATCTCCTGCCAACAGAAGTTGTACATGGAACTTTGACATGCTTACAGGCCTTATAATGTAGATTGATAAACCTTTCACAGTTATTCCTCGGTATTGATTCGGATTTTTCTTTACCTATTACGGTTAGTACTCGCGCCCTGTACTTGCTAAAGATTCATTCACCATAGTCGGAGCAGCAGCAGTACTGACTCTAGCCCTTCAACTGTGTCCCTTTCACACCAAAAGTCGCAATCGGCAGCTTAAAGTCAAATTATCGGCGTATGAACTTAATTTGTGCTATCTCGTAGACGTTAATGGCTATCAAAAGACTAGATAGGGACTCGACGTATGCAGGTAGCGACGGTCAAAGCGTCGTGCCCACATGGCGCTGTGTGTCAGTCACCCAACAGCTTGACTATGCGCGTGATAGATCGTAAGATTGTGGAGAACTCTCAAATCCTTCGGCCCGTGTGCGGCATGGAGAGTATTGAAATAGTCTCAGGCCCAACATTGCTACCTGAATCTGTAGACTCACATGAGATCATCGGTGTAGAGTTTGGCCTAAATTTGGTCGGCATATAAATTTATGTCGCGGTGTAACTTGGAAATTCGACTTCTTGTACATCGACTGACTTGTTTATTGTTATGCTTTCAAGATCTATGATCATGTAAGCAATGTAGGTCCTCCCCTACGACTCCATACATCTTTCAGCAAATCACATCTCAAGGATATCCACTCAACCACGTAACAGGACGAGTCTTTTGCCTTTCATTTTTCCATCCTTCAGCCAACGCATGGAGGTCACTTGCCAGCAAAGACGACTTCTCCATCTTCCAATGATATCGGTACAAACGGTCGGAGGGCAAGACTGAACACCTGTACGCGGTGTCCTCTACGAACCTGAGAGTGAAATATTCTCCCAGAGCCAAGTTCAGTCAAATTTCGCAATATCAAAGAAGTTGGCCCACGAGGCAAAAATTCAAATTACTCCACCATGTCAATCTTTCACTCGCAAAGAGTCCGATTCTCAACTAAGCTTCATCAAGTCTACAAGTACGACCTAGTACATCCTCATCCCAATGACCACACCTCTCGTCGACTTTCTCTGGCCTCAGCCGGTCACCAAATACACGCCCACGCCGATATTTATACCCGACGGAGGAAGCAAAGCGTGGAGCACAAATCTGGGAGATAGATCTTTGGGATGGACGTGAGAGGAATCAGGACAAGTTCACAAGATGATGCAGAAGAGGGATACGTTTTCGACGGGCGTGGAATTTTGAATTTTGGCAAGAGTTTTACGAATTGAGCTTTGTGCGCGCCAAGACTTCGCTTGCGAGAGTGCAGCTGACACTGTAAAAACAAGCAAACGATGGAAGGTGTTGTGGTCCGCCTCCTGGTGGTGTTCTCTGGTATGGTCTGAGTAGCCTGGGCACCTACTCCACTTGGGAAGGAGACATCTCAGATTACATTTCGCGCGGAGAAAATTTGATGGATGACGGAGGCATGTCTGGATAACTCAGGGTTTTTGAGACGTTCCCCTGGGTGGGTATTCACGGATGAGGGTTGACTTGGGGTGAAGAAAAAGCCACCATAACTTCGCAGTGGTACTTGCAAATGAAATCTGAGGCATGAGTGCTCCTATTATAAACTGAGTCATCTTTTCTGTACTTTTCTCTGATATTGTGTCATAGCTAGATAGCTGCATACGCAATTAAAATCTGATGCAAAAAAAAAAAAAAAAAAAAAAAAAAAGGTACAAACGGTCAGGTCGCTCTGCATATCTGAGACGACCAAGGAGAATCGCAAATCCCCCAACTATTCTCATCGTCTATATCGCCTTTAACTCTCAGTACAACCCCCATGTACCATTGCCATGAAGCTAACCACAATCAGAAGGTAGGGCGCTACCATATACATCAACCATCCTTGATCATGGAGGAAAAGCTATCTGAGGAGTTTCAGGATCACACCCAGCACCCGATTCTGCGATGGTGGATCAGAGAAAATTGACCTCAAATGTTGCAAAGAAAGCAGATATAGATAGATATGCGTACCTCGTGTGATCCCGGTGTCTAGGCCTTTTTTTCATATTGTATTCAGCTATTTAGCCATGACAATTGGCGTCTAGGCTTCGCCTGACTGGGGCTGCAGGGTTTTTGATAATTTTTCTTTTAATTAGAAGGTTCCATAGAAAGGGTGGCTGAATTTTTTGAAAGTCTAGTTTTCAAATCATCCCTTGTTCCCACTCTCCATCCTCGCGCTCGTTGCATTCTCTCAAAAAATTTGATAGAGTTGCTGGCGTTTTTATCATGCGACCTGTTCGAAAAAAGGTTCCCAATGCAATGTTAGACGACTCGAGAGTCAGCCCGAGGGCTCTCGCAGAACCACCTGGCCTTGCCCAGTCTTCGAAATGTGCGAAGATAGGTCAGTCTAAATTGTTGAGGAAATTCCTCAACCACTCTCCATCCCCCACGGGATTGGAGAGCCGTCAAAATCTCCCTTGAACGCGTACAAACCGTCGGAGAACGCTGCATTAAAAGCAGCGCCAAAATTAACGTCCCAGCCAAAAGCTGCCGCACAAGCAGAATGCCCACTAGAAGTTAGACCGATTGTCGAAGCCGAACAACGACGCGACGCCGAAACAGCGGCAAATATGGCACTCTGTTCCTCTGCCATCTCTGGCGTCGAAGCCACTCTCCTCCCTTTGACCAACAGGTCAAACAGACAAGTCGTAGACTCGACGAGAGTCTACCTACGCGCCGCCATAGCGCAATACATGGCCTAGGGCCAGGCCTCCACGCCACTTGTCCTTCCTCCTCGTTCGGCGAACCCTTATCCGAGAGCTCCCGATGCCAAGAGCCCAACCGTACCCGCTGTCCCAGTGCTGCGTGCCAAAAGTACCTGGGCTGCGGTAGCCAAAAACAGAATGCCACAAAAAGCAGTCCCATCAGTAAAGGCTATGCCGCGACCTGCGACCAAAGCCCTGAATAAAGACGCTTCGAAGGCTAAAGTCGACGGAAGACTTTATGTCCGCCTCAGTAGCGATCACCCGTGACGCAAGCTTTCACCTGAATGCGCAAGGC